TCCACCCATCATCCACCCATCCATCCATCCATCCATCCATCCATCCATCCATCCATCCATCCATCCACTTATCTTTCTATCCATCCTTGCCTCCTTCATCTACTCATCCACCTTGCTTTTCTTTCCCCCCACTTTCTCCTCCTTTGTGTCCACACATCTGTCCATCCGTCCATCTATCCAGCTATTCAGCAACGATATACTAAGTGACTGTCACGTGTTAGATATGGGGCGAACAGTGAACAGGACAGATCAGGGCCCTGTGAGGGGGCAGTGCAGAGGGTCACTCCTTATTGGTTACATTGTGCCCCGAGACCAGGAAGTGGAAGCCCCCTGCTGCTTTCCTGTGGGTCTGAAGCTGACTTGTTGTCATGGCAGCAGGAGACTGAATGTGGGGGTGAGAAATGCGGGGAGGCAGGAGAGAGGCCATACCTAATACCTAACCCCAGAAACAGGCAGACATTTGGGGTAGAGTCCTCCCTGGGGTCCCATCTGCTCTGACCTCTCTGGGCCTCTACTCCCAGGTTGGCGGCGGGCAGGAGGGTGCAGGGGGCCAGGTGGAGATCTTCTCCCTGAACCGGCCCTCGCCCCGCACCGTAAAGTCCTTCCCCCTGGCGGCCCCTGTGCTCTGCATGGAGTACATCCCGGAACCAGAGGAGGAGGAGGCGGCGGGCGAGGGCAGAGACCAGAGCCGGCCGGCGGCTGACCCCTCGGCCGCAGTGCACCCAACCATCTGCCTCGGGCTCCAGGATGGCAGGTGAGAGCTCAGAGGGGCTGCGAGGGCCACGTCCAGGGCAGTGCTTGGGGCAGAGGTGGGGGGTCTCTCTAGCTTCCCTGACTCCTTGTCTCCCACCCACATTCCTTGCTGTGGTTGCTGTCGCAGCAAGATGGGGCTGGGGGTGCCCAGGATGTGACCCAGAGTCACAGGAGGTCCAGCTCGAGGCTCCCTCCCCGAGCTGCGAGTGTGGAGGGGAGTCACTGCCTTGGTGTCCTCTGGGCCAGGGTTGGAATTGCAACTCTGACCTGACTGTGCCCGGGTACTGGCAGATTCCAGCCCCTGGAGCCTCTAGGTCCCACCTGGGAGAGTCACCAGCACCCCGGCTGAGCAGTACTTCCCCACGGGGGCCCCTTTCTGGCCTGGGGAGGTGCTGCTGGTGGGAGGCGGGGAGTGGCTGGGGGGAGGGTTGTTCTCCCCACTGTAAGACACCTGAAGCTGGCGAGTCAGCAGAAAGACTGTAGTGAGGGGCCCGCCAGCGCTGGAGCCTGCCCGGATCAATAGCCGTCCGTGGGTGTAAGTGGAGGATGAATATTCATCCCCGGCTAATTGGGGCGGCGAAGATAAAGATTGATGAAGACCTTGGACCCGGACACTCTGCAGAGCGTGTGGCCTCTCGAGTTACACTTCCCTGCAAGTTACACCTCTCCCCCTACCCCCACCCCACCGGAGAGGGGAGCACAGCTGGGGGCAGAGGGATGCTTCCAAAGGGAAGGGGCAGCCACCCCCTATTGTCCACCCATGCCAGGGGCCTAAGGCCAGAGCAGAAAGCTCACCTGACGCCCTGCCCCGCCCGTGCAGCTGGAGCCGGGAGGGGCCTGGTGAAGGCTTTGGAAAGGTTGCCCTAACATTTGGGACACGATTCCCCACACTAGCCGTTTCCCATGTGTGACTCCTGTTTCCAGTACATTCCCAGTGCTATGCCACCACCAGAAACCTGGATTCTAGAACATTCCATCACCCAACCAAGAAAGCCGGTGCCCCTCAGCGGTCCCTCCCCAGGCTATACCCCAGCCCCCTTCTGCCTCCCAGGGTTTGCCTGCTCCCGTTGACGTTGCCTGTCAGAGACCCCAGGGCCGCCCTGGCTCCCTTCGCCCAGCCCCTGTCACAGCCACGTGAGACCCGCTGTGTGGCAATGCCCGTTGCCTGCAGCCCCACTTCTGCACATGGACAGCTGGGCACTTCCACCTCTGGGCTACTGTGGACAGGCCTTAGTCTGCACTGGGTGCTGGTCCAGGGTGCCGGCCGATGCCAGACTCCAGCCCTGGGAGGTGGGCACTGCTGTCTCCAGCCCGACGGCAGTCTGCTAGAAGGAGGTGTGCCTTCATGGAAAGTCCAGAGAACAGCTTTCTCTTATACTGTCCCCAAGTGCCTCTGCGACCTGCCAGGTCCCCTTCCAGAGCCCACCACAGACGCCGAGCCCCCAGCAGGCAGCAATGGCAGGTCGTCCTGTAAGGAGGCCTGGCTGAGTTGGGGGTGCTCCCTCTGCTACCAGAAAGGCGTGTGGGGGAGCAAGCAGGCGCTCAGAGTGAGCCATGGTCTCCTTGGGCCTCTCTCCGCAGCATCCTGGTGTACGGCAGTGTGGACACAGGGACGCAATGCCTGGCGACCTGCAGGAGCCCAGGCCTGCAGCCCGTGCTCTGTCTGCGGCACAGCCCCTTCCACCTGTTTGCTGGCCTGCAGGACGGGACCCTCGCCGCCTACCCTCGGAGCAGTGGTGAGGATGGGGCTGGGTGAGGGAGGGGGACTAGGGGGCCACTGAGACCCCTCGGGTCCCATGCATGACCTCCATAGGTGAATCACGGCCACTCAGGCCATTCCCAGGAGACCGGCCTTTGGTTCAGGCTGGTGCCCTGATGTGTGGCTTCCTTGGGCGCCTCCATCGCCCCCTTTGCACCCTGGGCTCTGGCAGGTCAAGCTCCAGCGATAGCCCTGCTCAGGCCTGGAAGGCAGAGAGCCTTGGTGGAGGCAGCATTTTGACAAGCCGTGTTGGAGCCCTGGTGGCATAGTGGTTGGGCTGCTTACCGCAAGGTCAGCAGTTTGAACCCACCAGCCTCCCTATGGGAGAAAGTTGAGGCTTTCTACTCC